GAAAGCCGTAGCTTTCCCTCGCAGTCACGGATTGATTTATAATGTCAAGAAAAGCGAATGCATGGTCTTTCAGGCTAAAGGGAAAGCCTTGCCCTCATATGTACCACCCATTAAGTTATACGGTACACCGATAAGAAGGGTGTCTCAGTTTAAGTACCTGAGTCATATGGTATCATTTGACCTGAAAGATGATACTGACATAGAGAGAGAGCGTAGGGAATTTTCTGTTAGAGCGAACATGATCGCTTGCAGGTTCGCTCGTTGTTCAGTTGCTGTTAAAGTAACGCTCTTTAGAGCTTGCTGCACTTCCTTTTACACGAGCAATCTGTGGGTGGACTACACGCAGAAAAAGTATAATACCCTGCGTGTTCAATACAATAATGCATTCAGGGTGCTATTGGGTCTGCCTCGTTATTGTATTGCATCGAGTATGTTCGCGGATGCGCGTATGGATTGTTTTTTCACCATCATGCGTAAACGATGGCCATCACTGGTGCGCAAGGTGCGGGCCAGTTCACATTGATCATGATTTTTCCTTTACATACGATCTGACACAACTGGTTACTTCGCCTACGTGGATTCCAGATGTGGAGGATCATGCAACTGTGGGGGATCAGGCTCCTCGGACCATTGTCTTGTCCGCAGTGTGGTGCCACTCACGCTGAAATTGCAGTTGTATTCTGCAGGCGGCCGCCGTGTTTGGTACTATAGGTCAGCTGATTGGGATGGGATGCGGTCTTTCTTTGCATCCTACCCTTGGGGGCGGGTTTGCTTCTCGCCGGACGATCCCAGCATTGTTGCGGATTCTGTATATGTGATGTGGTACTAGAAAGAAAGAAAGAAAGAAAAAATATTTATTTTTGACACACACAAGGCACCAGAACACAGAAACAAAGTCAAAACAAAAAAAGTAACAATTTATGAACAAACAAACAGCCAGTTAAAATTAGAAAAAAAATTATGCAAAATATATATTCTTAAAACTAGTGGTGCCTCAGGGTGATGCCAAAAGATAGGAACCAATCCAGCATGATGTCAGGTTGGAAACCTAACGCTGATTTTGTATTGGGCCCCTGGATTGCATTCGTCTTCACCTATAAAACCAGTTACCGTGTACTTCCGCAAGAACAATCAGTATACGTGAACTCTATGAAAAAACATATATAATTACTTATATAAGAAATGATTAATAAAATATGTATATAATATATGACAGGATATTAATTAAATACTTTATTATTAGCAAGATATTGCGCGTGAAACTGTAACAACATAATAACGTCAGCAAAAAAAATAAAAATAAAAAAATTAAAATAAAATATAGAACATAAAATGTACCTCTCAGATAACCATCAGATATAGGACATGTTAGCATTAGTGTTAACCATGCCTAGGTCTTTTTGTGCATTTAACATGTACTGTTTTAGGTGACTTTTAAAGGTAGTTATAGAGCTTAGCTGCCTTAGAGGTGGTGGTATGTTATTCCATATTTTCGAAGCTGCATAGCGAAATGCTCCCTTGAAAGATGCTGATTTGTGCTTTTGTACCAAAAGTTGCTGCGAGCACTGTCTTCTATCACATTGCCTCCCTGTAGCAACCCAGCCAAGTTTATTATACAAGTAAGATGGTTCTTGATGTTTTAGGACGCCAAAAAGCAAGCACGCCAGATGCAATTTCGTCTCGACTTCATTTTAAGTATTGCATGATCATTAAAAACGGAGTGACGTGCCCCCGAAAAGGAACTGTGAAATAAAAACGGGCGCAAGCGTTTTGAACGCGCTGAACAAGCCGCTCCGTTCTGGCCTGTAGTCGTGGACCGTACACAGCATCAGCATAATTAAGCTTGGATAAGACTAACGACTCGACCAGCTTTACACACAATTCCTCTGACAAGTACGGCCTAATTTTACTTAACACTTTGAGCCGGTAGAAGCAATTTTTTAAAGCTTCGGTAACATGTTCCTCAAACCGTAAGCCCTCATCAAGCTTTAAACCTAAGTTCCATGCTATGTTTACCCTTTTTACTTTCTTTCCCTTCAGTACAATGCCTAAATCTTCCGGTAATTTATTTAATTGATTATTTGTATCAAATATCATATAATTAGTTTTATCAGGATTTAATAGTAAACAGTTATGCTCAGACCACATAGTGACACGTTTTAAATCGTCATTTAGATCCTTAACTGCTGTTTCCCATTGACTGGGTTTGAATGAGATGTAAAGTTGTATGTCGTCTGCTGATATTTTACAATACATATGATACTGACATTTTACGATATTTTTGGTAAGTCCGCACAATATAAGTTAAAAAGAATAGGGTCTAAAATGGAACTCCTCTGTTCACGGGTGCTAGGTTAGAATCCACAGAGGTTTCACGACACAAACTGACCAATTGCTTTCGATTGGATAAATAAATATTAAACCAGGACAGCGTGCTACGTCCGAAACCATAAAAACTCATTTTGGACAGTAATAAAGGCATATTTATGGCATCAAAGACACGCGAGTAATCTAATAACACCAGTAGGGTGTACATGCCCTCATCCTGGGCTGACAGGATATTATCCACTACATCAATCAGAGCTGTAGTAGTACTACGTCTCTTAAGCAACCCAGACTGCAATTGAGGAAGAATGTTCTTTTTCTCAAGATATTCCGTAAGCTGCAGACAATCTTTTCTGATACTTTTGATAGGCATGGTAAAATGCTAATAGGGCGTATATCTTTTAAGCTCAAGGGGTTATTGTTCTTAGGGAGCGGTCGAACAATAGCTATTTTCCAAAGGTCAGGGAACGCAGAGGTTAAGATTGAGTTATTAATGATTGTATGTATGATCTCTAAAGAGTTAGGTAATGTCATGATTATCATTTTTAATGATAAATTGTCAATTCCGGTACTTGCAGATTACGTACGTGAGTTTTACGCGTAAAATATTGTTCTGACTGACTGATGATATAGTGAATGTTGCGTCGCCGAACCTGTGAAATTCAAAGTAGGTTAGATAAGACAGTGAAGCTTGTAGTTCTCCTGGCACGTCCAAAAAGTAATTGTTAATTTTATTTTCTACGGTCTGCTTTGGAGGTAATACTGTCCTTTTCAGATTTTTCCAAAGCGATTTTGGATTATTAATTTTGTTATTAATTCTGTGGCAAATGTATGCGGCTTTTTCATTATGTAATGATTTTATCGCTAGAGATTTAAGCTGATTGTAGTACTCTCTACTGGATACCGACTTCTTTTTACGGTACTTAGCCAGGGCATCATCACGAATTTTCATCATAAACCTAATATTATCTGTAAACCACGGAGGGGAAGGCTCCTTTAAAATTCTCTTCCTAATGGGTGCATGCGCAACGAACACGAATAAAATGTTGCGGTTAAAGATATCAACTATTTCATTTACGGAACAAGAAAACAAATTTTTGAAGTTCAAGTTAGATATATCAAAATTAAACTTATCTAAACATATATTATCTAGCGGTCTATATTGCAACAATTGAGGCGTAGGCTTGTCCTTTATGATATGAAATTCACAAACAACGATTGCATGTCCGTATAAATTACCAGGCGTAAATACAGGCATACGCTTCGATTTTAAGTCGGAGCAAACTAGATCTATCAATGTTTCGGATATGCTAGTGAAATGAGTAGGAGAATTAACCAGCTGATTTAGTCCCAAACACTATAGACAATCGTTTAATTTTTTTGTTTTTACTTCAGATTCATTTAGGAAATTGACATTAAAGCCACCCATAAGTATAAAGTGGTCATTATCCCCCAAGGCACCTATTGAGCTGGCTACGGCATCCAGGAACAGATCCAGGTCTTGCCATGGAGGCCGATAGGCTGTGCCTATAGCAATTTTTTTTCCTTGGATGTTAAGTATTAGCCACATTTGTTCAATATTTTCAGGTTTAAGATCTACAGTCAAAACACACGTACCTGCATTTACTCCTCTTCGCACGTAAAAACCCACTCCTCCGCCACGACCCGCACGTATAGTTAACGGGCGTGGCGTGTGACGTAACCGCTACCCTGGCACCGCGGGCGCACGGCCCTCCTCACCCCGCCGCAGCCAAGTCTCATTAACGGCCATGATATCAATGTTGTGCATGTAAAACAATGATATAAAATCGTGATGATTGGTACCCAGTGACCCAGCGTTATGAAAAACATGGTAAAATAAAATCATGGTAAAACACTAGCTTAAATACCCTGATACGGTATGGTTCGCAAAACATTTTTCGATTTCGTTTATATTATTGCAATAAATTAAAATTATAAACATTATGAGATACGAGTAAAGACTTAATGTTTTGAAATATAAATTAAGTACATTAAATAACATATTTATAATATGGTATATAGATATAACAAATTAAACTGAAGATTGCTCCTGCAGTGCACAGACGTTCATAACCAAAGGCTATTTTTATAAATATAACATAAGCTACCAGAAGATGACCTATAGGCATATCTAAAAAATAAAAATTTATTTGCTTTACAGTGGGGTATAAATTATCATATACACGATAAGATAATATTCTTGAAAAAAAATTTGAGACACAGATAAATAAGGTACAAGTAAAAATACATGTTTGTATACAGTATAAAGATAGGGTACGATCGAGACAAACTATGATCGACTAAAAAATTTTGGAAAGGTCCTTTTCACTACGGATATGAAACGCCCTCTCACCACCGTCTTTACGAACCAATATTCTTCCATCTTTCGACAAGACATATTTTCCAATCGCGTTTTTTGCCCTCTTGACGTGCAAGGAAAAAGAGGTGTCGATTAGCTCGCGTGAGTCGTTCATTAATATATATGCTACTCGGCTTGCGAGTCACATTGCGAGACACGATGTCTTTTGTGGAGCGGTTGCGGCGCACGCGAGCTGCGCGCAGCCACTCGTCCCTCGTCGCTCGGCGGGCGAACCGCTATATACACTCTTATCTATGCGAACCGCACAGCTATAAACTGAGATCGATGATATAAGCTATGAGCTGAGATCGTCGTCGCAAGTACTCTCCTCTACCCTATTGCGACGTGCTAAGCCAACACGTTCCACGTTAACAATGTCTCTTTTGTCTAATGTTATTCCCAGCTTCGTAGATAGAACTGTAACTGTTGACATAAGATTTTCTCCTCCAAGCTCAGTTATGCCGGATATTTCAACGTCATTGGAGAGGAGCTCCTGGTCCCTGTTATTAAGTTGAACTTTCAGCTCGGTGATAGTATCCTCGAGTGCGCTGGTGTTTGACGGGGATGCTATTTGGGAGCTCTTGTTCTTCAGAGCAGAAGTCCTGGTTTCTATTTCACTCATTCTTATCTCAAACGCACTAAGTGTGGCCTTAAACTCCGATATTTCTAGGCGACACTCGTGAAACTCTTCTCTAATGGCTTTGAGCTCTGATCTAATTTCTAGGACCAGATCGACCTTAAGTCCCTCTGTGGTATTGTACGCTGAATTATTCGTACTATTAGGAGTACTTTGGTATGTGTCAGCCAGTCCCTTCACAGGAGTAGAAGTGTTGTCCTCTCTAGGTTTTTTATTTTTACAACCGGGACAAACCCACGCGCCTTACGAAGAAGTGGATTCCCTACACATGCTGAAAGCAGCGGAACAATTACAACTAATACTGTCCGCTTTTGACAGGAATTTACCGCAAGCTCCGTATAATTTTATCTACAAAGCAAAACAGCTGATTTAGCCTTATAAAGCAATTAAAGCTTAATGACTCACGCGCAAACTAACAATGCAGACAGTCGAAGTAGCAACAACTAGCAGCGGCTGACAGAGATAGAAAGATGCAGCAACGCTTGTTGTAGAAAAAAGCACGCCGTAGCTAGTGAGGTCAGTGGCCGACCGACCGGGTAGCCTTGAATCAGCCGTCTCAACTGTTGCGAAGAATATTTGAAACTTTGCACTATTTCTTGTTATTATATCAATCACTCACTCACTTAATATAGATTTAAATCGTCACTAACTGAGAGTTCCAACTTTAAACTGATGTAAATTTTATTATTAAAAATAAACATTTACTAGGGCTTCAAGAAGATTTAAACGAAGACGTTTAAAACACTGTTGACTCGGACGAAGCGTGAAGACGAATCCCTACTATAGTCTATTACTATATTAATACTACAGTGTAGTACTATATTAATACTACAGGGTATGGAACTTTTTATTCCTTCCTCTGTGGTGCCCATTGGAGGCAAATCTCAGCCATGGTTTGATCGCTCCTGTAAAATAGCGTCATGTTATAAGCAGTAATGCTACCAAGCCTGGGCTGACGCATCAACGTCCCGGGATGTAAACTCCAGCGCTCTAAAAAAAAAGTATGATTCCGCCTCCAGGTCCTTCAAAAGAGTCATTGCCAAGGCAAAGTCAGAGCACATAGGCAGAATTGGCGAGAAGCTAGTTCGCCTTCCTTCTGGAACCCGTGCATTCTGGTCTCTCGGCAAGGCTGTTCAGGGGAGTTTCTGTCAGCCATCTCTTCCATCTCTGCACAGGGAGGACGACTCACTGGTTCATACCGCAAAGGAGAAAGCTGATCTGCTAGGCTCTTTCTTTGCGTCCAACTCGACTCTCGATGACAGGGGGAGTACGCCGCCGACCATCCCGCAGTGTCAGTGCTCCATGCCGGAAGTGCAGTACACACAGCGCTCGGTATGCAAAGCACTCCTCTACTTGGATATCCACAAGTCGAGTGGGCCTGACGGAATCCCCCAAATTGTGCTGAGGACGTGTGCTCCAGGGTTGGCACCGGTTTTAACGCGTCTTTTTCGGTACTCCTACTCCCTAGGCATAGTCTAAAAATCATGGGAGACGGCTTTCGTCCACCCGATCCCTAAAAGAGCCGACCGCTTAGACTCGTTCAACTATAGGCCCATCGCTATCACCTCCTTGTTCTCCAAAACAATGGAGTCCACTGTAAACTGCCAGCTCATGAGGTACCTTGAGGATCACCAGCTGATCGACCACGGTGAAAACCGTATTGGCGATGACCAATCAGCTGTATCCATTGTAAACCGCCAGCTCATTAGGTACCTTGAGGATTACCAGCTGATTAGTGATCGCCAATACGGTTTTCACCAAGGTCGATCAGCTGGTGATCTTCTGGGTTACCTAACTCATAGATGGGCGGAGGCGGTAGAGTCCAAGGGGGAGGCGTTGGCCGTTAGTTTGGACATTGCGAAGGCCTTCGATCTGTTTGGCACAAAGCGCTTCTTTCGAAGCTCCCTTCCTATGTGCTTCCCGTGAAATTGTGCAATTGGATCACCAGCTTTCTTGCAGATCGGAGCATCAATGTCGTTGTAGACGGTGCAAGCTCCGGTTACAAGCCTATTAAAGCTGTTGTTTCACAAGGGTGCGTGCTATCGCCAACGCTGTCCCTTCTGCATTTCAATGATATGTTGCAAACATTAATTGCTATGCAGATGACAGCACTGGTGATGCTCTGTACGCTGGCCGTGCCAATATTTCTCGGGAAAACATCTCCGAGTACCGGGGCAAACTTGTGTCTAAAGTGGAATTTTTGCTGAACAAAGTCTCGGATTGGGGGCGACTAAATCTAGTCCATTTGACCCTCAAAAGACACAAGTTTGCATGTTAAACGCTAAAAAGAACCCCTTTGTTGTATCTCCTCAGTTTCAAGGCACTCCCCTTGTTGCCTCAGCCAGTATCGGAATTCGCGGCGTTGACATATCGAGTGACGTGCAGTTTCGTGGTTACTTGGAAGAGAAGGCCAAATTGGCCTCTAAAAAGCTTGGCGTGCTCAGCAGAGTGGGACAGTATTTCATGCCCGCACACCGCCTGCAACTTTACAAGGCGCAGGTTCGGCCGCACATGGAATACTGTTCCCGTTGCTGGGCTGGGGTTCCCAGTACCAGCTTCTTCCACTTGACCGCATCCAGTGCAGAGCTCGAATCGTCGACGACCGAGTGCTTTCCGATTGGTTCGATTCACTGGCGCTGCAAAGAGATGTTGCATCTCTTTGCGTATTTTATCGCATCTGTCACGGGGAGTGCTCTGAGGAATTGTTCGGATTAATCCCAGCCACCAAATTTCATGGACGCAATACCCGGCAAACGTCCCGATACCATCCACAACATCTGAATGCTTGGCGGACCACTGTACGTTTCACAAGGAGTTTTATTCCACGTACGGCCTCTCTGTGGAATAGCTTATCACCCGCGATTTTTCCGGACCGATACGACCTAGGGACCTTCAAGAAAAGAGCTTACTCCTTTCTAAAGGGCCTCTGTAAAGGGCGGCGGTAGTCACTTAACATCAGGTGAGCCGCATGCTCGTTTCCTCCTCGTCTATAACAAAAAAAAAAAACAGAATAATAATTTTTGATCCGATCTACGCAGAATCATCATCATCATCATCATCGTTACAGCCCTTCACAAGTCCACTGCTGAACATAGGCCTCCCCCAAGTAATGCCACAAAGCACGGTCCTGAGCCACCTGCATCCATCGACTTCCTACATGTCGTACCAGGTCGTCACTCCATCTATTGGAGGGTTGCCCTACACTACACCTACCGGTACGAGGCTGCCACTCGAGAACCTTTCTTCCCCATCGGTAATCGGTTCTTAGAGCTATATGGCCGGCCCTTTGCCACTTCAGCTTACTAATCCGTTGGGCTATGTCGGTCACTCTGGTTTTACTGCGTAGATCCTCATTTCTGAGTCTATCACGCAGAGAAACCCCGAGCATAGCCCTCTCCATAGCTCGCTGAGCAACTTTGAGCGTCCTCATACGGCCAGCAGTGAAGGACCACGTCTCAGATCCATATGTCATCACTGTCACACACGCACTGGTTTAGTTTTCAGAGATTGAGGTATACCTGACGAGAAGATGTGTCGTAATTTCCCGAACGCTGCCCAGCCGAGTTGAATCCGTCGATTGACCTCTCGGTCGAAGTTGGACTTACTTAGTCGGACTATTTGTCCCAGGTAAACGTACTCGTCAACAACTTCGAGCATAGTGCTCCCAACAACTACCGGCATAGGTGTGACATGGACATTAAATATGATCTTTGTTTTGTCCATGTTCATCTTAAGATGTTCATCTTAAGACCTATCCGTTGGGAGAAACCATTGAGGTCATTGAGCATAGTGCTAAGGTCCTCCAGGGATTCTGCCATAAGGACTAATCGTCGACAAATCGAAAGTGAGTGATGTACTCGCCATTGATGTTAATACCGTATCCTTTCCAGTCCAGTAGCTTGAAAACGTCTTTCCAACGTTTCGGGGATATAACATCACCCTGTCTTACACCTCTCTGCAGTTGGATAGGTATCGAACTCTGGACACTGAACACTTCAGCACTTCGATATACCGACAGTCAACTTGGCACCGCTGAAGGGACTGTAGTACCGCCCAAATTTCGACGGAATCAAAGGCTTTCTCATAGTCCACATATGCCAGGCAAAGTGGCAGATTGTACTCTTCGGTCTTCTGTACAATCTGCCTCAGGGTATGTATGTGGTCTATTGTACTGAAGCCTTTTCGGAAACCGGCTTGTTCGGGAGGCTGGAAGTCGTCGAGTCTGCGTGCGAGACGATTCGTAATGACTCTCGAAAACAGCACGTATACGCGGCTCAGAAGGGAAATTGGTCTGTAGTTCTTCAAGAGAGCGTTGTCGCCTTTCTTAAAGAACAAGACCACCGCGCTTCTGCTCCACGCCTCCGGAGTAGTGCCACCATGGAGGACGGAATTGAAGAGCTTCTGAAGGACTTCAAATGCCGGTGTTCCACCCGCTTTCAGAAGCTCCGCTGTAATTCCATCCTCGCCCGGGGCCTTTGCCGTTTTTAAGGTGGTGGAGAGCCATTCTAATCTCGCTCATACTGACGTCCGGGATATCATCGGAATAGTGTCGGATAAGACCTGTTCTTGGATCGTTACTCACACTTGCGTGTGGCTCCAACGATGATGTGTACAGCTGCCCGTAGAACCTGTCAATCTCACTCAAAATCTCAGGTGTCCCGGAAACGATGCTGCCAAATTCAGTCTTCAGCTTTGACAGTTGGCTCTTTCTACGCAGAATGAATTTACAGTATTTTTAAATCTTGCAGTAATATATTTGGGTTTGGATTTAATTTCATTAACTATATACAGGATCCAAAGAAAAATAGTAGTACCGACCCATATTCTCTGTTGAAATTAGGATGTTTTTTTTTAAATTCAAGAACTTTGTGAATCATCATTGGTGGAAATCGGTGTTATTTTGCGAGGACTTGAGATCTATTAAATGTAATGTAATAGCGAGCATTGCGAAAATTTAAGGAATTATTGGGAGTAAATTAGTCTAC